ATCCCACAAACAAACTGGCGTGCGTGCAGAATGACACATGCTCAGGACTATTCATTACATGGTTGTATAAGCAAAAATGGAAAACAGCCTAAATGTTGAGTAACAGGGAACTGCTTAAGCAAATTTTGATGTATCCATGCAATGAAATACTGTGTAGCCAAAAATAGGAACAATAGTACTTTCACATTCTGAGTTTCATATATTTGTGTTTATATAAAATATATGTATTATATGTTATATATCATAATATATATTAAAATGTGTGTACATGTGTATCTATAAATATGTTAATATATGTATATGTATATATACAAATGTGTATGTGTATACTGTATATGTAAAGCTATAAAATATATATAAATTTAATAATGCATGTTAACTGTATTAAATATAATTAATTTATATTAATATTCTATTGCTTAATGTTGATTATATTAATATATTAAATTTATGTAATAAACGTAATATATTTAATAATATATTTTCAAAATATATTTCAAAATAAAATATTTAAATTTTAACATATATAAATTTTCAAGTTAATACTGTTGTATGACATAAGCAAGGTCCATAAGAACGAATGGCATGCTACCAACTGTGTAAAAGGTTTTTAAAATTCCCACACAGGCCGGACGCAGTGGCTCACACTTGTAATCCCAGCACTTTGGGAAGCCGAGGCAGGCGGATCACCTAAGGTCGGAGTTCGAGACCAGTCTGGCCAACGTGGCAAAACCCCATCTCTACTGAAAAATACAAAAATTAACTGGACGCGGTAGCACACATCTGTAATCCCAGCTACTGGGGAGGCTGAAGCAGGAGAATCACTTGAACCTGGGAGGTGGAGGTTGCAGTGAGCTAAGATCGTGCCATTGCACTCCAGCCTGGGCGACACAGTGAGGATCCATCTCAAAAAATAAAATAAAATTAGATTAAACTCCCACACATATCCTTGCCAGGATATACCTTGAAAAGTCTTAGATGGGAGACATAAACAACTGGTAATAATGATTGTCTCCTGTTGAAAGGCAGGGTCTGGGGGACATTCAGTCTTCACTGTGTACTTTAATAGCATTGAAATTTGTGGGCTGGGCATGGTGACTCACGCCTATAATCGCAGCACTTTGCAAGACCGAGGCAGGCAGATCACGAGGTCAGGAGACTGAGAAATTTGTACCATGTGAATATACAGCCAATTCAAAATAACTAAATAAAATTTAAATTTTAAATGAACGCCTTAAAATAGGTACTAGGCAAGATGGGGGCACACCGTGCTCAGACGACAGAGGGTACGTAGGGTGTGGGGGTCTGACGGAGAAGAAGCTTAACATGTGGGTTGAGACTTGAAGGGCGAACGAGCATGGATGGAGACCTCAAGGGAGAAGGGTGTTCCTGACAGAGGCCTGGACATGTGCACCAACAGGGTCCATTCAAGGAAACCCCAGCAGTGTGGGCTCACTGAAGCCCATGGGTTCAGGAATGGCTGCCAGGACCTGAGGCTGGGCATGTCATGCCAATCAGCTGAGGCTTTTCCTGAAAGGGGAAATGATGACACATCCAGGTCTCTAGCACTCCAGCATACCTGGCAGCAGCGTGGATGGTGGCTGGAGGAAGGGCTGAGTGGGGTAGACTGGAACCTAATTCAGAAACTATGAAAGGACCTGACTTTTTTTTTTTTTTTTT